TGAACGAAGAAAGCTCATATGTATGTAATCTCCTTCTTCTTTTTTCTCTCAGTTAAATTTCATCCCTTTTAAATTTGAGTGACTTTTCTTATCCAGTTATCTAGAGAGCCCGACTTCAAATGGAAATATCTCCTTCATATGAATTCGAAATTAACAAATTTGGTGGCTTTGAAAGATAATTCAAATACCTTTCATTTGATATTCTTTATCCGAAACTCATACTTAAAATAACTTGTCAAATTTTAGATTCATTTTTTTCAAAAATGATTCTTTCTATATTTTAGCTCTTTTAACTAGCGGGGTGTTACATTTTTTTTTAAATTTCTGATTATTAATTTTCTTAAGCATTTTGTCTTTTGGTTGAATTGAAATATACTATATTAAGTTAAAGAAATTATATTTGTAGACAAATGACAAAAAAAATACTATAGGTAGATATTTCAAGTGTTTTTTTAAAAAATATTTTTGTGATCATATCATCTAATTTTTAAGAAGTTAATTGATAATTTTTCTTCATTAAAATATTAAATTTGATTGAAATGGTAACCTGTTAATTTGACTATGACTCTGATTATATGTGAGTGAATTGTATTTGCAAGAACAAATAGAAAATCACAACAAAGATTTTTTAAATGGAGATTGAATTATCAGGAGAGAAAAATATATACAATAAATTAAATTACTGCTACAATTATATATTATACTGAAGTTAAAAATGCATAACAACTGAATTCCCCTTTGTGTCACTATATGATGTTTTTGGTTTATACTATAATAAAGCTAAAACATGCATAGCTACTGGACTTCCTTTTGTGTCACTACACAATATTTTTGATTTATTTGAAGATTCCTTAGAACGAATATGATATACGTCAATCCTCGATATTTGACTATTATACAAATAGATCAATGACTCTTGGAATGAAACTAATCTAAAAATTAATATTACGAATAAAATATATAAAGAAGACATAATATATCAAAAGATAATACTTGTCCAATCAGATTGAGATTCTTAAGTTATGCATACAAGTATCTATACATTTATTTTTGTGAAGGGTACAATTAAGTAAACAAAACTAAAAAGAGGAATAATATAAGTGAGAGAATAGACAAGAAATGAAGAGACACGTTATTAAAAATTTGATCATGAACTGATCATTCTGCCATTGTTGAGCACAAATGAAGCTTTTATTAATAGTGAAGAAGAAGAAGAGAAAAGGAGCTTAATTACAATGATATACAACATCTATTTATAGATGTTCATATCATTCTAGAACCATCTAGTAGATTTTAACAATTCCTAAAAAAACTCATTCTAATAACTAACTACCAGAATGTTAACTCTGTTATTGACAGAAAAATAATTGACTAACGGAACAGTAAAAAATGTACAATAAAAAAAACTAAATTGAAACGTCTAGCTATTTAAACATTTCCCCTCAAGCTGGAGGATGCAGGATATTAAGTACACCCAGCTTGGCTAACAAATGCAAGTGTTGATCCTGCCCCAAACCTTTAGTTAGTATATCTGCAACCTGATTTTGAGTAGGCACACGCATGGTTTTGACTTCACCAGTCTTCACTTTGTCTCTTATAAAATGACAATCAATCTCTATGTGTTTAGTTCTCTCATGAAATATAGGATTTGCTGCTAATTGAATAGCAGACTTGCTATCACTTAATACTGTGATTGGTTTACAAATAGGAACATTTAATTCTGCAAACAGACCTGCTAGCCAAGTAATTTCTGATACAGCTAAGGCCATGCTCCTATATTCTGCCTCAGTTGAACTTCTGGAAATAGTGTGTTGTTTCTTTGACTTCCAAGATACCAGGGATTCACCAAATTTCACCATATATCCTGTAACAGATCTCCTTGTGTTTGGGCATGCATCCCAATCAAAATCACACCAACAAACTAATTCTGTAGCAACCTGAGCCTTCAGCCAAATTCCTTGACCTACAGTGCCTTTCAAGTATCTAACCACCCTGTTTGCAGCCTCTAAATGTGACCTCTTTGGTAATTGCATAAATTGACTTAATGTCTGCACACCATAACTAATATCAAGTCTAATGATTGTTGCATATAGTAGCTTCCCAATTAATCTTTGATAGGAAGTAATGTCCTTCAAGACAACATCTTCAGTGATCCTATTTGCTCTGTCATATTCTACTGAAGTTAGTTTGGTGCCAAGCTCTAAAGGTGTGGAAGCTGGTTTTGCACCAGTAAGTCCTGTTTCAGAAATGAGCTCAAGAAGATTTTCGTTGATTTAAGATTACTTCTTTTGCAGTTCTCAAAACCTCAATGCCCAAGAAGTATTTAAGCTCTCCTAAGTCCTTGAGCTTAAATTGTTGATGTAAAACTTGTTTTGCCTCTTTGATCGTTGACTCATTATCCCCAATGATAAGTAAATCATCAACATACACCAAAATCACAACCATTCCTTCTGTTCTTTTCAGAGTGAACAATGAATAATCATAAGTACTCTAGACAAATCATGCAATCAATAGGGCTGAGGTAAGTTTAATGTTCCATTGTCTAGATGCTTGTTTAAGGCCATACAATGACTTGAGTAGCTTACAGACTTTGTGTTGTCCTTCTTGTCTGAAACGTTGAGGCTTTTTCATATACACTTCTTCTTCTAAATACCCTTGTAAGAAAGCATTATACACATCCATTTGATACAAACACCAACCTTTTGAGACTGTCAGACCAATAACGCATCTAACAGTCACCATTTTTGCAACAGGTGAAAATGTGTCATGGTAATCTAACCCTTCTTGTTGGCTGTGCCCTTTTGCAACTAATCTTGCCTTGAACCTTTCCACTTCCCCATTAGCTTTGTACTTAATCTTATATACCCATTTTGAACCAATTGCATGCTATCCTAAGGTAAGTGAACTACCTTCCAAGTGTTGTTATCTTCAAGTGCTTGAATTTCTAGTTTCATGGACTTACACCACTTCTCATCTTTAGCAGCTTGAACAAAAGTATGTGGTTCCACCAGTGTAGAGAAATTAGTGAGGTAGCATTGATATGTAGAAGTTGTACTACTATATGACAAATAGTTAGCAATTGGATATCTTGTCCCTTTCCCCTGCTGTGGGATGCATAATCCTTCATCCAAATAGGTTGCTTAGATACCCTTGAAGATCTTCTTGCAGGGAGTGAAGTCTATAACGGTGTTGTCTCACATAATAAATCAGCTACAGATGGAATATCAACACTCTCAATCAAAACTGATGTGTCTTGACTGTGTTCTTCAGTAACTGACAATGAATCATCTGAAAATGCATCCTCAGTGATCTCTACAGATGGAGTTTGTGAAGGGCATTTTTGAGATGTCTGATTTGCAAATGGGAATACATGTTCTTGAAATTTAACATCTCTGCTAACAAAAAACTTATTGGCATTACAATTTAATAACAAAAATTCTTTTTGGATGGTAGAATAGCCCATAAGGATGGATTGCCTGGCCCTTTCTGAACACTTATCTCTTTTTGACATAATTGTAGCATGACATAAGCAACCAATTACTCTCAAGTGTGACAGGGAAGGAACTTTGGAGAACATCAACTCATATGGACATTTGCCTTTAATAGATGATGAAGGCAGTCTATTCATTAGTTATACTGCAGTCTGCACACTCAAGCCCCAAAATCTAATAGGCATGTGAGATTGGAATCGAATAGCTCTAGCTATGTTTAGGATTTGTCTATGTTTCCTTTCCACAACACCATTTTGCTGAGGTCTGTGAGGACAACTACTCTGATGTATAAAACCAAAGGATAGAAACAACTCCTTGTATTGTGAATTAAGGAATTCAGTGTCATTGTCTGATCTTATGACTTTTATAGGAACATCAAACTGTGTCTTGATCATTACAAAAAAAAAATGTAAGTGCTACAATAGTTTCAGACTTTAGCTGTAACAATTGAATCCAAGTATATCTGCTGCAATCATCTACAATTGTAAGAAAATATTGTTTCTTATCAAATGTAGGAATTTTATGTGGCCCCCAAAGATCTAAGTGTACAAGATCAAAACACTTGGTTGCTCTAGTTTAACTAACAGGAAAAGATAGTCTAGTTTGCTTGGCTAAAGGACAGACGTGACAAGTATTTAATGCATCCATGTCTTTATTATACTGTAAAAAATCTACTGACTTCAAAGTTTGAATCGAAGGATGTCCAAGCCTTTTGTGCCATAAGTTGGTATCTTGCATAGTTGCTCCTGCAATGATGTTTTGGTGATTTTGAATCTTAGGTACTGTTTTCATTCCAGCTTCATATTTGAAACAATATAAACCTCCTTTTTCTTTACCAATTCCCTTCACCTTGCCACTGTGAAGATCCCGAAACACACAAAGATCAGGATAGAAGGAGACAAAACAAAAAAGTTGTTTAGTGATCTTGGATACTGATAACAAATTGCATTTGATAACAGGCACAAGTAATACATCCTGCACAGCTTCATCTTTAAAAACTACAGCTTCTCCAATGTGTGATACATCAGCCTTTGCACCAGTAGGAAGATTCACCTTATCACTGTTTGACTTGACTACATTATGATTTCTTGAAAAATTTTCCTTAGCTGATGTAATATGGTGAGTAGCACCAGAATCTATTATCCATTTTTGTGAAGCAACATGAGATAATAAACAAGTGGCCATACCTGATAGATAGACCTATTTCATCTCCTCTCTGTGTAAAAGTTTCATGATCTGTTTGTACTCCCCATCTGTAAAGATTTGTCCCTTGCCCAACACAACATTGTTGATCTCTTTATTTCCTTCATAACTGGTTGAAACATTTTGGTCCCCACTAAGACTGCTTATAATAGAATTAGTGCTCATTTTGACCTCCACACTGATATCCAGATCCATTAGACTTTCTATATCCTTGTGTGTTATATCCTGGTTGTTGACCACCTCCTTTTGAGTTTACATTGTTGTAATTTCCCTTTTTTCTGTGCTTCCAGTCTATAGGATATTCTATCAACTTATAGCAATTTTCTCTAGTGTGCCCAGTGTAATGACAATAAACAACTTCTTCCCTTTATAGCCTTGATTATGATTGTTGTCCAAGGTCCTATTCACCTGCATTGCCACTGGATCAGATTTCTCCTGCGTAACAACCACACAGGTTAATTGTTGAATCTCATCTTCCACTATCATGTCATATGCTTGATTTATAGTAGGTGTAATTCCTTTCAACAACATCTGCCTTCGAGCCTGCTTATATGAATCATTAAGACCACTCAAAAATTTAATCAATCTCGGCTGGTATAAATGGTATTCATCATCTTTCGACTAAGGACATATACAAGTTGGGGCTGGAATAATAGCATCATACTCATTCCACAGATTCTTCAACTTTGTCAAGTAGGCAGACACTGAATCAGTTCCTTGTGTAAGCGTATTGATCTCTCTATGCAGTTGATAGAGTCTCATCCGATTCATTTTGTCAAATCGTTCTCTTAGATCTTCCCATACATCAAAAGCACTTGTTGCATACACAATCCCGCTTAGAAGTTCTTCATTAATAGAACTCATCAGCCATGACTGTACTATTGCGTCGCACATCTCCCATTGTTCACGCAATTTTTCATTGCACAATGACTTACTACAGGCTCCAGTCACAAAGTCATACTTCCTTTTCCCTAACAATGCGATTCTCATTGATCGACTCCAAATTCCATAATTTTCAAATCCAATTAGATTGATAAGAATTAAAGCAACTCCTGATACATCTGATGGACCCATGTATAATGGATTTCTATGATCGATTCTTGTAATTTCCAGTTCTGAGAAAAAAAACTCCGATCTGATTTAGTAAATATAGGAAATTGATACTCTGAATTCTATTCTACAACTTCAATCTGAATAGGTCATCATGAACCTGCTTTGATACCATATTAAAATTTTGATCATGAACTGATCATTCTGCCATTGTTGAGCACAAATGAAGCTTTTATTGACAGTGAAAGAAGAAGAAGAGAAAAGGAGCTTAATTACAATGATAGACACCATCTAGTAGATTCTTACAATTTCTAACAAACTCATTCTAATAACTAACTAACAGAATATTAACTCTGTTATTGACAGAAAAATAAAAATAACAGACTAATGGAACAGTAAAAAAAAACTAAATTAAAACGTCTAGCTATTTCAACAGATGTGAAAGAGTTTTCTTATATATTCTTTCAAGTATATTTAAGTATTTTCAAATTTTCATGTGCATAGCACAATCCTCAAGATTTCTATTTACATTGTTGTAAAGAGGCATACAAAGAGATAACAATTAAAAAGCATGAATTTATTCTTCAGAATATGGGGAAGATCGGGAGTGTGAAGATAAATGAAGAGATGCGGGATGTGTGAGTATTATTGCACATAATGACGGAACTATATCCTGAAGTTATGAACTTCCATATCTATATATATATATATATATATATATAGTAGTG